CCGGGGAAGCCTGGCCTTGGGGCAAACGCCAGCACAGCAGCCCTTTGTCAGTGACAATCCCTTATAGTCAGAGGTCAGTGAGGCCCATTTTTATGCTCCTTAAGCCCCCACCAGACTACAAGAGTGATCTTTCTAAAATGAGATCTCACTATGCTATTCCTCTGCCCACACCCCTCCCATGGCTCCCCAGTGTCTTCAGCCTTAAGGCCCAGCTCCATACCCCAGTTCTCAGGGTTCATTTCCCATGAATCCTCACTCCAAGGTGCAGCTCATATGCCTCCCACCTGCTGCTCCATTGACATGTGTCATCTCTCCATGCCTTTGCCTCTGCTGTGCCCTCCACCTGGAAAGCCCTTCCTACAGGTCTCCACCCAAGCCTAGCTCAATGTAAAGTGCTTTCCCCAGCTCCCGCGGGCCTGTCAGCAGCATAGCCTGGCTCTGTCTCTGGTCCAGGATGAGGTACTCTGTAGCAGACAGAGGATTCCTGGGGCTGTGTCAGGAGAATGAGACAAACAACGGCCACGTCTTCTCAGGCTTCTTGCCTTTCCTCGCAGCGCGAGCTGGCTTTGCATGGTCTCACACCCCCTTCCAGTCTCCACCGTGACTGAAGCAGAAATCCAAGGCAGAGCCAGAGAGGTCAGAGGTAGAAGCTCCCTCAACCCCAACCGAGCCCTTTCCATCTCCCCCCTCTGCTTTGCAACCCTGCCTTCCTGGGATCAGGATTCAACACTTTATTTTTAGAACACACGTTGGGCTGGGGCTCCAGCATGTCCAGGAATCCACTTGACGTCTCAGATGTAACCAGACCCTGAGCTGGCACTGGCCGTGAGCTCTAGCTGGGCAGAGGAGCAGTGGCAGGGTTCCCGGGCAGTACTAGGGGCCAGGGCCCCGCGGGGAGACAGACCCTCTGCAGAGATCTGGAGCACGTGGGACTTTCTCCCAGGGGACAAGGGGCTCCTGCCACGTGACCCACTTAACCCCCCGTCTTTCACAGCTGGGACCAGAGAGGCAACTGGTTATCAGCAACAGAAGTGGGATGGAACTCATGTCCCCACAGTTCGGTCAGGCTGCCAAACACTGGGAAAGGGAATGGGAAAGAGTGTATCCTTTTTTTTTTGTTCTGGCTTCCTCTCCCGTTCTCAGTAGCCCTTTCAGCTCCTGCCTCCAACTAAACACTACAGATCCAGTTTTGTTTGATCATAAATTATTTGAGCCAAGACCGGTTTGGCTCAATGGATAGAGCGTTGGCTTGGGGACTGAAGGGTCCCGGGTTCGATTCTGGTCAAGGGCATGTACCTTGGTTGCGGGCATATCCCCAGTAGGGGGTGTGCAAGAGGCAGCTGATCGATGACTCTCATCAATGTTTCTAACTCTCTATCTCTCTCCCTTCCTCTCTGTACAAAATCAATAAAAATATATTTTATTAAAAAATATAAAAAATAAATTATTTGAAATTTATTTATTCATTCCACACCTGAGGATATTTTTCCATTGATTTTTTTTTTTTTTTTTTTTTTTTTTAGAAAGAGGGGAAGGGAGAGGGGGAAAGAAGGAAAGAAAGAGAGAGAGAAAGATAGAGATAGAGAGAGATAGAGATAGATAGGGAGGGAGAGAGAAAGAGAGAGAGAGAGAGAGAGAGAGAGAGGAATTGAAAGAGAGAAAGAAAGGAAGAAACATGATTGGGAGTTGGTTGCCTGCCTCAATCAGGAACGTGCCCTTGACTGGGAATCAAACCCAATACCCTTTGGTGCGAGGGCCAGTGCTCTAACCACTGATAAACACCAGCCAAGGCTGAAGTATTTTTAAAATTGTAGTAAAATACACACAACATAAAATATACCACCTTCACTGTTTTTAAACGTCCAGTTCGATGGTATTAAGTACTTTCACATTGTTGTACAACCATCACCACCTCCATCTCCAGATCCTTTACTTTTCCCAACTAAAATTCTGTACCCTTTTACCACGGACTTCCCATTCCCTTCCCCCCCCAGCCCTGGCAACCACCATCCTACTTCCTGTGTCTGCACCGGACTGCCCCCAGGGACCTCACCTAAGTGGAATCGTATAGTATTTGTCCTTTTGTGATCGGCTTATTTTACTTGGCATAATGTCCTCAGGTTCATCCACGTGGTAGCATGTGTTAGAATGTCCTTTCCTTTTATGGTGGAATAATATTCAATTGTGTGTATATACCACATTTTGTGTATAGACCACATTTATTCATCAGTGGGTGCTTGGGTTACTTCCACATTTTGGCTATTGTGAATCACACTCACTGCTATAAACACAGGTGTGCAAATATTTCTTTAAGTTCCTGCCCTTTTTTTTTTTTTAACTTTTTAAAAAATTGATTTTAGAGAGAAAGGAAGGGATAGAGAGAAAAGAGAAACATTGATTTGTTGTTCCACTTATTTATGCACTTATTGGTTAATTCCTATATGTGTCCTGACTGAGGATTGACCCCAGCATGTAAGAATACTGAGCAAACGTTAGCCATTGATATTATTACTAAGTATAGAAGGGTTGTGGTGTAAAGCACGAAATAGAGAGTGGCTGGAAAGGATGTGGATGGAGAGTGGGTAGTAATGGAAAAGCACCTATTCTATGTGAAAGAAAAAAGGGGCCCAAAATAAACATACATGAGATCACACACTAAAAAGACTCACAGAAAACAATCAAAATATTAACTGGGGTTGATTTACAGCTGAGATCTGGGACAATTTTTTTTTTTCCTAATGAACGTGTAAAAGATGCAGTCCCATCAGCATTCTCATTAGCTTCTTCACAGACGTTGATAAGTAGATCCTGAAATTTGTATGAAAATGCAAGGGACCCAGAGCAGCCAAAACAATTCTAACAAAGAGGAGCACAGCTGGAGGCCTGTGCAACGGACATGGATGCCCGGGCCAAGGAGGGAGCTAAGTGTTGAGATCGCACAGCCATGACCATCGAGAGCATTTCTTGCTCTGGCCGGTTTTCTCAGCGGTCAGAGCGCCAGCCAGGTGGTCTTCTGAAAGAATGCCCTAAGCTTCATTGACAGAGGTATCTCAGAACAAGAGCAAAACATGCTTGTAGTCGGAATTGCTCTGAAAGGTAGTGAGGCTTTCATCCCTTGAGGTGTGAGAGCTGGGCTGGAATTCTGTAGTCTCCAAAAGACAAAGTTGTCACCAGACCACAGTGAGTTCAGGGAAAAGGACTCACGGTTAGATTTTCTTAAACCTTCGTTTATTCATTTTAAACGCCATTTTGTTTCTAATTATCATTTCCCTGTTTTTTTTTTTCTTTTTTATGTAAACCTGTCCTTTCTTTAATAAAATTATGATAATAATTGACTTCTTTTGGTTATTTTTATTGTTCTCAGCTGGCAAGGTAAAGAGTTGGCAGCTCTCTGACTTTTATTTTTCTTAAATCTTTATTGTTGAAAGTATTACATATGTCCTCTTTTCCCCCGATTAACTTTCCAACCCTGCCCATGCCCCCCAATCCCTCTCTCACTTTAAAAAAATATCCTATAGCTGAAACCAGTTTTGCTCAGTGGATAGAGCTTCGGCCTGTAGACTGAAAGGTCCTGTGTTCAGTTCCGGTCAAGGGCATGTACCTTGGTTGCAGGCACATCTCCAGTAGGTGTGCAGGAGACAGCTGATTGATATTTCTCTCTCATCAGTGTTTCTAACTCTCTACCCCTCTCTCTTCCTCTTTGTAAAAAAAAAAAAAAAATTAATAAAATAAATTAAAAAAAAAATATCCTACAACTCTAAGAATCCCAAAGTCTGAGAATCACTGGGAAAAACTCGCAGCTCTGACATTTATTTCCTGCAGAAACTTGAGCAAGTTATGAAACCTTTTTGAGTCTCTGTTTTTCCATCTGCAAAACGGGGATGATTTACACATCAGTTGGCTGCTGTGAGAATTAAGCCAGATAATGTATGTGACTGTCCTTAGACATCATAACTGCTTGAGAAAGTGTCCTTCGGAGTCTATGAGTTCCATGAAGGCACCCACTTTTCTCTTCTGCAAGTTGAAGAGTTCTTGTTTCTTCATTCTTTATATTTCCACTCTGGTCTCTTCTGTATGTTCTCAGTTTGTCACTGTTGTTCTTAATCTATAAATCTATAACTGAACAAATGCTTTTGGTGTGGCCTGCCAGTGTAAAGTGGGACCCACTATCACCTCCTTCAATCTAGACTCTGTACCTCCATTAATTCAACCAAAATTTACAATGGATTTTGTTGAGATGAGAGCACGTAACAGCCTCCAGATCTTTTTTTTTTTTTAATAAAAATGTTTGCAAAACCCTGTCTCCCATGTGCAGTTGAAGTCTTGGACCTAAAATGAGAGGATTTACTTTTTTTATGATTTACTCCATAGGGCAGGGTCAAAGAAGACCCCAAATGTATTCTTGAACTCAAGAAAGCCAACAAAATATGTCACTGACTCTTTTTAGTACAAGGAAGAAAACATTTATTTGGATCTTGATGGAGTCCAGGGCTGCAGAGCCGGCCTTAGGTGATGGAGCCCAGATGCTGTGGTTTCGTCCCCCATAGCTCTCCCACATCAGGTTTACCCAGGGGACCTGACATGGTGGTTCCACGTCTCAGGACAGTGGACTGTACGTCTGTCCTGCGGTGGCTCAGTAGGAGCCACACAGGGAGAGCCTGGGGGTTTGAAAGAAATCGGAGCCCAGACAGATTACAGCTTGCAAGGCCCAGGAGTCTCCTACTGCTTCCAGAAGCTTCCTGCTGATCCGGGTACCACGAAGTGTTCCGTTCCCTCACCTTCCCTCTGCCTTCCATCCTGGCAGCTGGGCTGCGTGCCAGCACTGCTCAAAGGATGCCTCTGCCAGGGCTGGTGCCAACGTTCAGACCGTGTGGAAGAAAAGAGCTCTCTTTATTGCTCCAGCCTGGCCTGCCCCCGTGTCCCCCAGAATGCCACTCTGTGCTTGGGATGCCACGCTGGTCACACTCGGGCTGGGCCTGGCTGCCCACCGGGCACTGGCTTCAGTCAGTCCTCCTGAACCCTGGAAGGAAAAGCCCACAGGTTGGCATGGGATTCTGAAGACAGTCAGGCCTCATTCCCACCATCACCCCAGATACCTAAGACCCATCACAGCTGGAATAATGGAGTCACCCCAGAAGCCGTGGGTCTCAAGGATCCGCAGCCATTGCAATGAATTTCCGCTTTATGAATTAAGTGATTTAAAGAAGATGGAAATCCTCAGCTAAGAGACACACAGGCCCCCCTGGCCTCTGAGTTTTGAGACTTAATAGTAGACACAGAGCTGCTGCTCATCAGAGAGGATCTCCTTTCCCTAACCGGTTTGGCTCAGTGGATAGAGTGTCGGCCTGTGGACTGAAGGGTCCCAGGTTTGAGTCCGGTCAAGGGCATGTTGGTTGCGGGCACATCCCCAGTAGGGGGTGTGCAAGAGGCAGCTGATCGATGTTTCTCTCTCATCGATGTTTCTAACTCTCTACCCCTCTCTCTTCCTCTCTGTAAAAATTATATATATAAAAATTTTAATTAATTTATTTATTTTAAAGAGAGGATCTCCTTTAGCTCAGCCCAGCCACTCTAGCTGTGTGACCCTGGGCAAGTCACTCTACCTCTCTGTACCTCAGTTTCATCAGACAAATACAAAATGAGTAAAGCCCACCCCCACCCCCACCCCCAATGCTGTAAAGCAAATAAAATCTCAGAGAAGACAGAGTTTGGGGAAATGTTCTATGACAGAACACCCAGACTCCCTTCGGTTTCACACGTAGGGACTGCCGCGTCCCTTCCTGACATGATCTTCAGCCTGTGCGGTAGGTGTCATCACACCCATTTTCCGGTTGAGGAAACTGAGGCTAACAGAGTTGGAACATCGGAAGAGGCAGGAATTGAACCCAGGCCCCAACTCCGGGCCCTGTGTTCTTTCCCATATGCTAAACCTCATTGGCCACAGAAAACCCTGATTGAGAGAGAGAGAAAGTGAACTTAGGAAGAATGATATAAACGTTACCGATCAGCCTGAGCTTCTGGAAGAGGGGGATGAAGCCCTGCAGGGTGCTGTGGATCCGGTACACTGCCCAGACAAGAAGCGAGAGGGGCCTGAGCGTTGTGCCTCCTCAGGGGCCCTGGGGTCAGCCCTCCGCCCGCCCACACGTGGCCCACGGCTTCAGCCACACAAACAAGGCTCTCGTGGGGGGAACGGCGGGCAGCAGGTTTATGCTTAGATAACAGTACTGGCGTTATTATTAAAAACAGCAGCCGCGAACAGCAATAACAGTTCCAGGAAATGGAGAACGCAGGACCCAACCCCATTAACTAACTTGTTTTCAGCATCTGCCCGATTTCTGTTTGTTTGCCACTTTCAACTGTTTTTGTTGCATTTTTTTTTTTTTCAGAGCTGCCCATTTTTCCACAGAGTTTTGCCAAAGACCTCGCATTGACCTTGAGTGCGGTCAGGAGGAAAACAGGCGCATAAGAAAATCTTTTTAAAAGTGCTTAGGTCGTGGCTCCCTGGCACCTGGCAAGCCTCTGTGGCTGGTCCAGCCACCGCCCTCTAAGAGTCTGGGATGGGGGCAAAGGGATGCTTACCCAGCCCGAAGTAGATGCCAACAGTCTCCAGGGAGGCGAAGGTGAGCAGGCCAACCCCGAGGGACATGAACCAGTCTGGGAGGTCAGTCAGGGAGAGAAGGGTTAGCCTGCAGGCCTGAACCCCCAGCCCCCCAGCAATGGTTCCCAACCCCCCACCCCCACTCACCTGCGTAATAGTGATAACACACCAGCAAGGCCCCAATTGCAAAGCAGAGGAGGACAAAGTGGAAAAACTCATCTGTAAAGGCAGAGGAGGTAGGGAATTTACCATTTACTTCTTTCTTCCTCTTTCTTTCTTTCTTTTTTTTTTTTTTTAATTCTCCTCCAAGGAGTGAGGATATTTTTCCCATTGATTTCAGACAAGGAGGAAAGGAGGGAGGAAGGGGGGAAAGGAGCAGGAGAGAGAGAGAAAGAGAAACATCAGTGTGAGAGAGTCATATGGATTGGTTGCCTTCTGAACACGCCCTGACTGGGGGTGGGGATCAGACTTGCAACCCACGTAGGTGTCTTGGACCTGGAATTGAATCAGAGACCCTCCAGTGTGCAGGCCAATGCTCTAACCAGGAGCTCGCCTGCTAGGTTAGTTACTAAAAGTATTCCTGCCGAAACCGGTTTGGCTCAGTGGATAGAGCGTCGGCCTGCGGACTGAAAGGTCCCAGGTTCGATTCCATTCAATTGCATGTACCTTGATTGTGGGCACATTCCCGGTAGGGGATGTGCAAGAGGCAGCTGATCGATGATAATTCTCTCTCATCGATGTTTCTAACTCTCTATCCCTCTCTCTTCCTCTCTGTAAAAAAAATCAATTAAAAAAAAAAAGTATTCTTGTCTCTGCTCAAGTGTAGCTTTTATTCAGACACTTCTCTGGACCAGCCCAACTAAAACAGCACCCCAAGCCCCACCCTTTCCAGCCTTTATCTCACTTTATTATTTTTCTAACACTTATCACCGCTCAGCTGGTTATGTTTTCATTTCCGTGTTTGTGCTCTGTCCCCCTCCGGAGGGGTGGTGGGTGGAGGTTTTGCCCATTGACCAAAGCAGCACAGGCAGGCAGAGCTGCTGACACTTTATTTGTGGAATGCACATATAGACAACTGTAAAAGATGCAAATGTTTCAAGTTTAAAAGTTTCACATTGTCCCATTCTCCCTCCCTGAATCCTACTCCTTAAAACCGAGTGGTGATTGTCAAAACCTTTCCAGGCACAAACAAGTATGTATAAGCACTTAAAAAAAAAAAAAAAAAAAAAAAAAAAGCTAGGATCAATGAGTATACCTGCTGTTCTATAATTTGCTTTTTCCCTCTCATTGATAGATCAGAACCATCTTTCCCTCTCAGAGCATAAATAGATCTGCCTTGTTCTTTTTTATTTATTTATTTTTATTTTTTACTTTAAAAATATGTTTTATTGATTTTTTACAGAGAGGAAGGGAGAGGGATAGAGAGTTAGAAACATCAATGAGAAAGAAAATCCATCCGCTGCCTCCTGCACGCCCCCTACTGGGGATGTGCCTGCAACCAAGGCACATGCCCTTGACCGGAATAGAACCTGGGACCTTTCAGTCTGCAGGCGTGGGATGTTCAGAAGAGAACATAGGCGGGGGGGGGGGGGGGGGGGGGGGGGTGGTGGTGGTGGTGGTGGTGGTGGTGGTGGTGGTGATGGGGGGGGGTGCTGAGAGGCCGGCAGGAATTCGGGGGGGGGGGGGGGGGTGTCTGTGAAAGAGAGGCCCCCCTGCCCTCTGCTGGGCACCGTGGGAACTGGCAGAGGACGGAACACCGGGGCTTTGACCCGCTTAGGGGGCTGTGATTACAAGAGATGCAAACAGAGATTTCTAGAAGAAAGGAAGGAGAAGGAGAAGACAATGCGGAGACGGTTGCCTGGAAGGAGGCAGGCTTCCTGAGTGGGCGCTGAGACCGCCGGGAATGTGTCTTAGTTTAGTCCCGCGGAGCCACCGGAGTGCTCTGACGCTTTGGGCCAGCGACCCGACCTTCCTGAGCCTCCAGGTTCTCACCGATGTACGGAGGAGAGCAGCCTCTATGCCACTGAGAGGGCAGATGGGGCCTTGGTTGGGAAAGTTGGGAAAGGGTAAAGGCAGTGTGACATTGCATGTCACTGCTGGCCAGGAGCATTTTGAAGGCAATTGAATGGAAGGGGAGAAGGGTATTTCTGGTTTTATTTTCCTGGGTGGGGGAGGGAAATTAAAATGAGTATTTCTAGGACATTCTTTGCTCTGAAGTCAGTTTAACCTTGGGCGGGGGGGGGGGGGGGGGAAGGAGAGTACATCTGAAATGAATAGAATGTTGTATGTCAGTTATATCTCAACGTAAAAAATAAACACCTAAATTCCATTCAGAAAGTCAGGGACATCTTAAAGTTCAACATAAGTGTTACCAAATATACTGATAGCTCTGCTCCTCTAAAGAAAATAGCAAAAACAGCAGTATTGTTCACTTATAAGAACCATAATTATGATTTCATCAAAAAAGTCAAAATAAGCATAAGACAAATGGCAATACATTATTTTGTGGAATAGTTCTTTGAACAGACAATTCCCCAAAACACCAGATTTTGCTGAGTGTAAAACACACACACACACACACACACACACACACACACACACACACGGTGTTCCAGCAGCCTTCTGCCTGCAGAGGCTCCGCTCACAGGGACAGGCTGCTCTGTGTGTCTGACGGGCAGTGTTGGGGCATGGGGTCTCAGACCACATTCTAAGAAAGAGAGTGGAGAGGGGACTCCCCTTCTCACTTTGGGGTATAATGTATGTCCTGGAGCTACTCAGACATGGTCTGCCCTCAGGGAAGCCCAGTTTTAGTCTGACAAGGCTTGTCTTTTAGCCCGGGACAATTAAACAGCGTGCTCTGGTCATCTCGGTGGACAAAGGCAGAGCAGGGGGCGGGGACCCCCGTCTCCGCTTCCTGAAGGAGGGCCTTTGTGACAACTCCAAATGTTTCTAGAACAACTGCCGTTTATTTCGTAAAAAATCACAGTCTCTCTTCCCACATGTCTCCTCCTCCCCGAAGCGCCCCCAGATTCCAGGCCTGCAATGGAGGAGGGCCCTCTGGTTTGCACCACCCCTTCTCTGGAACTTGTCTACCCTCAACTCACAGCCTCCTCAGCCCGGCCGTGTCTGGAGGGAATTTATTATTCCAGAAACTCCACGTATGGCAGAAAGAGCTTACGTCCAGGGTTAAAGCTCCGGCCGTTCCACTCACTAGGGATAAGACCACTCCCCGTTCCTGGGCCTCAGTTTCCATATCTGCAACATGGGGATCATTGTGCCCCCTTCTCAGGGTGATTTGAAGCGGGGGAGTTTGCAAGTTGCAGGGCACACACGGCCGGGGCGGGCTGTGACTCCCGCTGTTCTAGGCCACCAGCGGACTTCCCACCCACAGAAACCTGGACAGCACCAGCAGAAGCAGCTTTGGGACATCCATTTCCTTACCATCTTTCTTTATGTTCAGTCTTCTTAACTGAGAGGCCTCCTCCGTGTCTCCTGAGGAACAAGAAAACAGAGTTTAACGCTGACACAGGACGGTAGGGGGGGCTTTCTCTTTCCCGCCTCCTGCGAATGGCTCCTTTTTTCCTGAGTCAGAGGACACTCCCTCCCTGCAAGACTCACCCCTCAGGGCCAAGGTGTGAAGGTGGGAAAGGCTGCTCCTGAGGCCCCACGGACCCCTCCTGCCTCCACAGGCCTGAGCCTATGCTCTGTTCCATTCCCCCTGGGCTTGAGGTCCCCTTCCTGAGTGGAAGGGGAGACAGATGCTCTGGCTGGCGATGGCCTCCTGGCCGGGACTGACCCGCCTCCAGGATGGCTGTGATGTCATCCCACCCCCCGGAACTCAGGCCGCCCTCCGCTCCCCTCTTGGGGCCGGAGGACTTACCGCTTGCTGGGTCGGAGCCTCTCCTTCGGAGTCCTGGAGGTTAGAAACTCAGCATTAGTGCCCAGCCCCGCCTGGGCCCGTACCAGCGGCCTGCCCCCTGGGGAAGGCCACCGGTGGCCTGTGAGATCGCTCCTGTCAAATTGTCCCCGGCCAGGAGCTCTTTCTATCAGCCCATCGCTGGTTATCACCTTGTTGGATCTCCTTTCTTTTTTTCTTTTTTTAAAATTCTTTTTTAATTTATTTTTTTTTATTAAATTATTATCTGTGTACATATCTTACCATTGCCCCGCCTCCCATACATACCCTCCCTCCCAGAGTTTTGTGTCCATTGGTTGTACTTCTATGCATGTATACAAGTCCTTCGGTTGATCTCATATCTCCCCCAGATCTCCCTCCCCTCCCCGCTGTAATTTGACAGTCTGTTTGTTGTTTTTCTGTCTCTATATCTGTCTTTTGGTTCATCCGTTTATAATGTTCTTAATTATCCATAAATGAGTGAGGTCATGTGGTGTTTCTCTTTCATTGACTGGCTTATTTCTAATCTCTACGGGCTCCCTGCCTCATGCCACAGCCAGCCCTGCTGCTGCTGAGCCCCGGTCAGAGCCCCAGGCTCCCAAGTGGGTCTGGAGTCCCTGTCTCACAGCCATGAACCCCGACAACAGTTGGCAATGCCCAGACCCCATGCAACACCAGCACCGACAACCCCTCTCCTGAAACGAGGCGCTCACCTGACTCTCCAGAGGGCACCACCTCCCCAGGAGCACCTGCAGGGAAGGAAAAGCCAAGGTCACAGACTTGTTATCCTCCTCCAGAGACTTTCCGGTTGGTCTGAGTGGGCTGAGGAGGGACAGTCACCACCCACCAGCCGCTAACGCCATTGCCGCCCCTGCCGCCACTGCAGGAATGCCTGCCCAGTGTTACAGGTCTTCCACCTTCCCAGGAGAAGCCAGAAACCCAGGTTTTTACATAAACATATATATATATATATTTGACTTTTTACAGAGAGAATCATCGATCTGCTGCCTTCTGCACACCCCCTACTGGGGATGTACCTGCAATCAAGGTAGATTCCCTTGACCGGAATCAAACCCGGGACCCTTCAGTCCGCAGGCCGAGATGCTCTATCCACCGAGCCAAACCGGTTTCCACATAAACTTCTTGATTATAAAAAAGAAGGCTGGCAACTCTTGTATTTTAGCAAATCAGAGAGTTTATGAGACTATGTTACTATGTAAGGAAAACCACTGCTAATTATCATTGCAAGTAACCAGTGATTTTATGATGCACTCTGATTTCCGATATGTCCAAATGTGAAAAAAGGTGGGTTGCAGAATTGATGAGCTGTATTAATAATAATTTTTAAAAACACTCTATGAGCTTTGCACGTAGCAGAGCAGCTCCCTCACTTCCACCAATGAAAGTCAGCCTCACACAAGGGTTTGTAGAAAATAAAGAAAAACACTCGGCGAGCCAGATAAAACACATCTGCACACACAGGAGTCACCAGTTCGCAACCTATGCCTGTTCACGATGACCTAGATCTGGGTGATGACACCTAGCCGCAGGCAGCAGCCCCGCCTGGCCCCGCACTCCCGGGAGCTGTGCTGGGTTGTATGTGGGAGCCCCAGCTCCACCCCCACAACCCTAAGGTTCAAGCCGCTTGTCTGGCGAGCTGAGCCCTACCTGCCTGCCCGGAGTTGCAGCCTCACTATTAATCTGGTCTGGGGTGACCTTCCCACCCATTGGCCTTCCAGCTCTTGATGCCTATTCTAGTTTCCGGTGACCTCTCTCCTAGCCCATCCCCTTCTTCCCCTCAAGGGCAGGTAGGACTTTTAATAAGGTACTAAGCAGGGAGTCTGTGTTGGTGCCCTGATGATTTTGCTTGTTCTTCCTTCTATGCTATCTCCACTTCAGGAGCAATTCCTGTTAATTTGGGGGGAAAATGCCAAATAAGAGTCAGAAAAAGACTGTAAACACTTCCTCCTCCTCTTCCCCTCCACACCACCACCACTGAGATCCCCCACTCCTGTATACTTCCTGTCTTTGAGGTCAGCCCCAGGACACAGGCACCAGAAGGGGGCACTCAGCACATGGCAATAAACATTCAGCACGCTCAGCTGTCCTTACGGTGAACATGCAAATGAAAACACTACTTACAAGTGACCCAAGAGTGACCAGCACCAAGGGTACAGAGAAGGTACCAGAAAGCCACGAAATGAGACTCCAACTGTGTAATTTACTGAGGACCCACAATGCCTTGGGGTGGGAGGATGAGGAGGAAAGAATTCACCAATACACGACAATATCTACATGAGCTACAGTAAATATGAATTACTTCCATGATGAGAAAAAAATATTTTAAAATATACATACACATCAGTTTCTCTCATTTCACACCCAGTGAAATCTTTCTTTCATAATTGGGTAATTAAAAGCATTAAAAAAAAAACCAACTAAATAATACTTGTTTTTGTTTTAAAATAAATTAAAAAATCAGATAAATGAGCAGCATAACGATTGCCCACAATGCTACCACCCAGAAGCAATCATTGGTGATATCTTGCTGCCAAACATCAAAATATTTTATTTACGTTTCTTCGAGTATATAAATAAGTGTTTCCTGATGTTTTTCTTGGGTCATTATCAGGAGTTAGAACACTATGTAGATCATGGAAATGTTGGATGAAACAAGGTTAAGGAGTTTTTCTTATCTGGCCATGAGCATTAGTCAGGCTTTTTGGCAAATGGGTTCATTCCTATAAATTTCCCCCATTTCATCAGAGTTCTATGAAGCAAATAGATATCATATTTACATCTCCCTGTAATAATCACTGTGCTCAGAGGCAATTATTCCATAATATGAATCTTGTAGAGTTCAGATTTTTAATCTTCTCTTGCTGGCTTAAACAGCCAAATGTTCAACGAGAGAATACTGCTCACGTCTCATTTTGCTGGTTGGGAAGCTGAGGCCCAGAAAGGTTGGGAAGTTGGTCAAGTCAAGGTTCTAGTTCAGAGGAGAGCCCAGGACAGGGTCACCATGGCGCAGAATGCTTGTTCCATGTCCATCGCCAACGTTATAACCACTCACCTTACCACATTTTCTGCATCTGCCCACAAGGTTGTAGCTCATGAGATACCCATGATCTCGTTTCTCCCCAATAAACCCCTAGGCCCTCCTGTCTTCGGTCTAATTCTGTTTTTTCCAAAGTCACTGGACAATCAATTACCTCCGTAGAGTTGAAGCTCGTCCTTCAAAAGGTCAGGCTTCCCGTGCTCGGCACCTGGGTAGAGACAAACCCCATTAGTCCGTCCTTCCCAGGAGCGGCATTCCAGGGCAGCTTCTGTCTTGCACCGGCATGAAGTCTTAAAAAGTCTTGTGCTGGGGGTAAGCTGGGCGGTAGTCAAGAGGCAAGACAGCCTAACAAGTGCTTCCCTTTTCTCTGCTTGTTCTTCCTTCTATGCTATCTCCACTTCAGGAGCAATTCCTGTTAATTTGGGGGGGAAATGCCAAACTAAGAGTCAGAAAAAGACTCTTTTTTTTGCTCTGAAGTAAAAAAGAAAGATATGAGATCATATCATCAGTTTGATCTCACATACACTTTGTACTATTTCACACCCAGAGGTGACTGTGTTCATTTATTAAGAAAGAATTGGAGCCCTAACCAGGTTGGCTCAGTGGATACAGTGTTGGCCTGTGGACTGAAAGGTCCCCAGTTCGATTCCGGTCAAGGGCATGTACCTTGGTTGCGGGCACATCCCTAGTAGGAGGTGTATAGGAGGCAGCTGATTGGTGTTTCTCTCCTCAATGTTTCTAACTCTCTATCCTTCTCCCTCCCTCTCTGTAAAAAATCTGAGCACTTCATGAATGTACCAACACTGTATGAAGTACTTTATATTGAATAGTTCATTTGATCCTCCTGGAAATCCTATGAAGGAGATATTAGTCCCTTTTCCTCCCCCATTTTACAGAAAGGAAACTGAGGCTCACAGGTGTTTCCTGAAGTTCACATAGTCAGTGACAAGTCCAGGGTTCAAACTCAGGTCTATCCCTATGGCCCACAATCCTGATCGTTTTTATCTCCAGAAACAGAATCCGGAGCTCAACTCCAGCTTCATGGGAAGCATTTATTAGACACCTTCTGTGTGCCAGGATTTGTCCTAGGCATTCATCCAGGCTCTGTTCCCCATGCTCCTTTCTTCCCATGATCCATTTAGGCTGAAATCAATCTCTCTCTCTCTCTCTCTCTCTCTCTCTCTCTCTCTCTCTCTCTTTCTTTTTTTGCAAAAAAATTTTTTTTCCTGTTGTTAAAAATAAAACATGCTCATGTCGAATATTTAAACTATGTAATAGTTCAAACAAGAGAAAATAATAACCCCCCATTATTTAACTACCCAGAGATAACCACTATTTGCATTTGGGTATTTTCCCCTTCCAGTCTTGTTCATAGCCACATATGAGTGAAATAGTACAAAATGTATGTGAGATCAAACTGATGATATGATCTGATATCTTTCTTTTTTTACTTCAGAGCGATATAAAGACCAGAGAGCTCTAACGGGGACAGGGTGTGGCATCGCTGACCTATCCTGCAGTTGGTGGACATTAGGTTGTTTCCATGGTTGCCCTACTGTAAACAATGCTGCCTACCCGGTGAGCCGCCCCTGTGGGAGTGTCCAGCCCCCCGCCTCCGCCGATGCTTCCTGGTTTTCCTGGGGTGCTGGTCCTCATCACCGCTCTCTGCAGGAATAAACACAAGCTGTAGGAGAACCTCGGCCTGAAAGAGCCCAGAAGACACTTGTTCTGTTGTTCATTCTCAGAATTTAGTTTTTGTGAGGCATGTCCAGGAAAAACAGACTTAACATGTGTTTAGTGATTATCTTTGGGAGACAGAGTAAAAGATGATTTTTTCTTCTTCTTTCTATGTCTTTATAAGGTCCACATTTTGTACAGTGTGTCTATATGTACCTGGCTGGTATGGCTCAGTGGTTGAGCATTGACCTATGAACTAGGATTCCTGGTCAGGGTTGTGGGTTGGTCCCCAGTGTGGGGCATGCAGGAGGCAGCCAATCAGTGATTATCTTTCTTTCTTTTTTTTCTTTTACACTTTTTTTTTTAAATTAAATTATTATCTGTGTACATATTTTAACATTGCCCCCCCCCATACATACCCTCCCTCCCCAGGGTTTTGTGTCCATTGGTTGTACTTATATGCATGTATACAAGTCCTTCGGTTGATCTATTAAGTGATTATCTTTCATCATTGATGTTTTTCTCTCTGCCTCCCTCTCCCTTCCTCTCTGAAATCAATAAAAAAAAAATATTTTAAAAAAATGTGCCAATGGGTAATCTTTCACAATAAAATTTTTAATTAAAAAATAACAGGCTACATTACGAACAGAAAGATGTAGAGAGAACAGTGCTGGCGCATGAGTATCAGTGAGGGTCCTGGGCTACAGTGAGAGGATGGGGCTTGGGGCCTTGAGCCTGAAGGATGGCCTGGTCTGACTCCCAGCAGCAGGCCAGCCACTGTGGATCAGACACCAGGATCCTGAACGTCAGCCTGTCCCTGTGAGCTTCTGCGTTAGTGTGCCTGCCGTTTTCTCTGTGTTCAGTTTTGCTAACCGCAGCCAATCCCCCGTGTGCTGTAAAGGCAGGAGGGAAGTGCTTTATGGCCACTTGGGAGGGACATTTGTGTGGGAGCAGCACCCCCTAAGGGGCAACCAGGATCAGGACACAGACTGTCCCCTCCCACCACAAAGGAGAAACAAGGACTGAGCCCCCCTGGCAGGAGTCCCCGCACCTGGAAGCCCTTCTTCCAGAGCTAAAGCACTTAGTGGGGGGTTTGTGTACTTTTTATTTTATTTTATATATTTTATTGATTTTTTACAGAGAGGAAGGAAGAGGGATAGAGAGCTAGAAACATCGATGAGAGAGAAACATACATCAGTTGCCTCTTGCACGCCCCCTACTGGGGATGTGCCTGCAACCAAGGTACATGCCCTTGACCGGAATCAAACCCGAGACCTTTCAGTCCAGAGACCGATGCTCTACCGCTGAGCCAAACCGGTTTCAGCAAGGGTTTGTGTACTTTTAATAAGAGCGATGGCTTCCTTTCCAGACCCAGGAGGAGCCTGGCTACACACAAACCCACTGGACCCACTAACCATTCTCTCTCTTTTCTGTCTGCTGAGATAAGCATGGATTTTGTGTCCTTAAGCCTCAGTCTCACCATTTGCAACAGTAGGACATACGTCCAGGGTGCCAGGGCTTTGCAAACATTTTTTAAAATTTAGCCTCAGATCGCTTTCATCTAATAAAATCTCAGACCCAGGCCCACTACGTACAACAGATCAGGGCTCTGGTTGAGGAAAAATAGACCAGAGCTAATCCTTAGGCTCCTCAAGCCCAGAAAAACCTCCAAGGAATTCCGGGTTACTGAGCCCTCTTACAGCAGGGATGTTAGCCTGTGCCTCAGTTTCTTCATCTGTAAAATGGTAACAATGATAGTACCTCCCTTGATGGATTGCTGTGAGAATTAATTGAGTTATTACAGTGCTCGGGACAGTACCTGGCACAGGTCAGTAGCATGAACACATGCTAGCTATGATGTTGCTGCTGCTATAAACTCAGCCTTACATTTTGAATCAAAAGAATAAAAGTGAAAGAATATTCTGCTGTTTATTAGAGAATAACACGACAATTTGTAATCAAGTTCCAAATAGGGACACTTATTTCTCTAAACCCCACTAGAGTATTTGTGGGGAAGCGATACTTAGGACATGATTTGTATGAAATATTAAGAAAGCAAGAGCAGGCCGGGACCGGTTTGGCTCAATGGATAGAACGTCGGCTTGGGGACTGAAAGGTCCCGAGTTCGATTCTGAGCAAGGGCATGTACCTTGGTTGTGGGCATATCCCCAGTAGGGGGTGTGCAAGAGGCAGCTGATCGATGACTCTCTCTCATCGATGTTTCTAACTCTCTATCTCTCTGCCTTCCTCTCTGTATAAAATCAATAAAATATATATTTTAAAAAAAAAAAAAAGAAAGAAAGAGCAACGGTGGTCTGTGGGAGAAAAAGGTATGGAACTTCCACTCCAAGTGAGGGGAAGATGGGGCTATAAGGGAGGCACAAGTGGGCGGGGGTTGGGGGGACACAGTCCACTCATTGTAAGGAACCATTTCAAACCGGCAAACTTTTAATTTACTTAAACCTAATCCTACAGATCAAAAGTTTCTAATAGATATATTATGCAAACTGTAGGTAACTATATAATCAAATGTCATGACCCTCAATTTAAAAATACATTAAAAAATGAATGAATGAGCCGGGACCGGTTTGGCTCAGTGGATAGAGCGTCGGCCTGCGGACTGAAAGGTCCCGGGTTCGATTCCGGTCAAAGGCATGTACCTTGGTTGCGGGCACATCCCCAGTAGGGGGTGTGCAAGAGGCAGCTGGTCGATGTTTCTCTCTCATCGATGTTTCTAACTCTCTGTCCCTCTCAATTCCTCTCTGTGTAAAATCAATAAAATATATTTAAAAAAAAAAAAAAGAATGAATGAATGAATAAATAAATAAATAAATAAATAAATAAAAGCAAAAGCTTTTGAGCAAGGATGCTCATGATTGGAATAAATTGGTGGTCAGGTAGGGTAACAATAGTTATTAACAATAACAATTATTAACAATAATATTTCCTTTTTAAGCTTTTACAAGGTACTAGGTGCTAAGACGTTACACATGTGATAAATGTTATCTTCATAAGAATCCTACGAGGTAACTCTTTTTTTTTACCACCCCTATTTTAGAAATTAGTACCCCAAGGCATATAGGGTTAAGGGATTTATCCAAAGACACATAGCTAGTTAGTGGCCAAGGAAGGATTTGAACCCGGGCAGGCTGCGTTACGGACAGGTGCACTGACTCTGACACCTGACTGTCCCTAGGAAACCTAAATGTCACTGTACATGAAATGCAGCCATTTGAGGGGTTATTCGGGAGGCATTAGAAATAGCTGCAAAGATGTGACAGAACAGCAGGGCAAAACGCCAGAGGGAAGACAGCAAAAAAATGTTAAACCATGAACAAAATTGTCTATATGATTATATATAACTGTATACAAGTTGTATGGACAGACAGGCAGGCTCTGAAAGGGAATGTGGAAAAATAGAATTGAAGTATCAGTGTAGGAGATTGTGGAGCAAGTTTTTTTTCATGTAAAGGATTTCTTTCTTTTAAAAAAAAAAATATATATATATATATTTTATTGATTTTCCACAGAGAGGAAGGGAGAGGAATAGAGTCAGAAACATCGATGAGAGAGAAACATCGATAAGCTGCCTCCTGCACACTCCCCACTGGGGATGTGCCCGCAACCAAGGTACATGTCCTTGACCGGAATCAAACCCGGAACCCCCATCAGTCTGTAGGCCGATGCTCTATTCCACTGAGCCAAACCGGTTAGGGCTAGGTTTTCTTGAGTAATATAAGATTATATGCATGCATATTTAAATCTTTGCTGTACCTGAAGCAGAGGAGGATGACGATGAAGAGGAGGAAGAGGAAGATGAAGAGGAGGAGGAGGAAGACTTGTCTCTCTTATACTGTTTTTGAGGAAAGAGTCCGGCCTCCCTGTCTTGCTTGTGAGCATCTGTCTCTCCATCTGAGAGGAACACATCGGCAAGGGTGAGTGTTTCCCGCCTGTCCCACCCCAGGGACCACCAAGGCCTCCTCAGGGGTCTCTCTGGACTTGGGGAACCAGGAGGGGCTGGTTTCTCCAGGACACTCTTCCCACAGGCCTCAGGGTTCTAAGAAGGCCCAAGGCAGAACTTTCTCTAAAACATGGAGCCCAGCCTGCTCTGAGACCACTAGACGGTATGAGTAATTGCCAATTGAAGATTCTCGGTAAATTTCAGGGCAGGTGGGATCAGATTAAGCCCTATCTCCCTATCTCCTATTCTGGGGCTTTCCCTAGTGCCAGCCCAAGCCTACAGAGCCTCTTAGAGAGTTGGGGAGCAGCTGAGGGCTCCCACAGCTCGAAAGTGCTGGAGGACAGGCTGGACCAAGCACATATGTATGTGTACATGTGTGTAAAGTCACTACTTCTTTGGAAGTTTCTAAGCAGGGTCTTCCTCTGTTCTACCCATTGCTGGATTCCACCTCCCATGAGGCTTTGCCCAGAGGATCAGAGAAGGCAAACATACAGTCTACATCTTCTGTGTTTCCGAGGACTTGACTGTGGTCTGGAGTCTGGGAGGAGGATCCTGGAGAAGTCTCCATTGCCTTCCCTGGAGGAATAACAATAACAAGTAATTAATATCACTTGTAATTAATAATCAATAATAAGTAGTTAATATCCTTAATGCAGAGAGAGCTTGGCAAATAAATAAAAAAAGGAAAAAACATTCAATTTAAAAAGGTATAAAAGCCAAAACCGGTTTGGCTCAGGCCAAAACCGGTTTGGCTCAGCGGTAGAGCATCGGTCTGCGGACTGAAAGGTCCCAGGTTCGATTCCGGTCAAGGGTATGTACCTTGGTTGCAGGCACATCCCCAGTAGGGGGTGTGCAAGAGACAGCTGGTCGATGTTTCTCTCTCTCTCATTGACGTTTCTACCTCTCTATCTCTCTCCCTTCCTCTCTGTAAAAAAATCAATAAAATATATTTTTTAAAAATAAAAATTAAAAATAAATAAAAAGGTATAAGAGAAACAACTTCCAAAAAAAAAAAAAAAAAAAGAAAAAATACAATTAGGGAAATTTGGATAATAATAATCTTTTGATAATATAGAAACGTACTTTTAAAAAATAGACTTTAGTATTTAGAGCAGTTTTAAGTTCACAGTAAAGTTGAGTGGAAGGTACAGAGATTTCCCATAGACCTCACTTCTCCATATATGCACAGCTTCCCCACTATGAACATCCTCCACTAGTAATTTTTAGGTGTGATATTTATATTGAGGCTATATTTATTTAAAGTATCCTTAAGTTTAAAGATAAATACTGAAATGTTTATAATAAAATTATATTATGTCTATGACTTGCTACAAAAAAATAATAATAATCCTTTTGGGTAGTTGGAGGGCATGGGTAGGGGTCCAAATAAACAAGCATGACCATCAGTCAGTAGCTGTTGGAGCGAAATCAAAATACAAACTGTGGTGCTCTTTGGGTGGTGTTATCACGCATGTTTTTAGTTTCTTATTTTTACTTCGCATCTTCTAAATTTTTAACAGTAGTGCTATTGTCATGATAATAAAATAACCAGTAATTGTTTTTCATCACTTAAAAATGTAACATACTACCTTATGTTAGTATAATAGCACTTAACGGTTTTCCAAAGGGCTGTGTCTATAATTCCGTCTGAGCCTGATCACAAACCAGTCAGGTAGGAAACGGAGCAAACCGAGCCCTTGCTCGAAGCTGCTTGCTTTCTTGTTATTTGAAACAAATAAGCCTCATTTTGCTGAAGCCTCTATAGTAAGGATTTTTGTTGTTTGTAGCTAAATACAATTCCTACAGAAACACAGCCCTACATTAATTAAGCACCCAGTATATGCTAGCTCTGGGGAAACAGTGGTGAACAAGTGGCAGCACTTTCTCAAGGAATTTCCGGGTAGACCTGGGGGCTGTTGGAACCCAGGGGCCAAATCAGATTAGAGTCAGTACAAGGGAAGTTACTGACGGAGGCGGCGATGCCGGGGGTGAGCTGGAGGGGCCGAAGGGAACGATGTGCAGAGGCACAGAGGCAGGGGGCCATGGATTACATGGGAAAGTTGGCAGGAAGCATCTTTAAAGAAGAATGGGCTTTGGAGGAGGCCCAGAGGACACCCCTATTGCATCCGCTGGCACCGTGGTCGGCAAACTGCGGCTCGAGAGCCACATGCGGCTCTTTGGCCCCTTGAGTGTGGCTCTTCCACAAAATACCATGCCCCGAGCGAGTCTATTTTGAAGAAGTGGCGTTAGAAGAAGTTTAAGTTTAAAAAATTGGGCTCTCAAAGGAAATTTCAATTGTTGTACTGTTGATATTTGGCTCTGTTGACTAATGAGTTTGCCGACCACAGCCCCAGCACATCATTCTTGAGCCATAATCAGTTTTGCCTTACATCAGACTTCTCTCCAAGGTAAGGCATCTTGTTGCCTAACTCTGGGAGCCGCCATTCCTAGCCACCTTCGTATCTGTGCCCAGGGCTCCGCAGAGGGTCTGACACACCCAGGGTGTGTCTCTTCTACTGGATCATGAGCCCCGTCAGGGTTAGAGACTGAGGCTGATTTATTTATGTGTCACTGAACCCTGCACAGGGCCTGACAGAAACCAAAAATGATGATGGTGATGATGATGACGACAATAACAATACATACTTACTATCGGCCAGGCCACGATCTAAGCATGTAAGCATGCATGCTACACATATTAACTTACATTCCTCACCACAATCCTAGGAGGGCTCACCATGCTTGTGCCCATTTTATAGGTTAAGAACACTGAGGCAGAGAGACACTAAGAAACTTCCCCAGAGCCATGTAGCTAGTCAGTGTCTGAGCAACAGTATTTGTTCAGTCCATGTTGAGGACTGGAAGACAAATGCTGGTGCCTGTTCCCAGGCCCCTGACATTTGTACCAGGAAAGAAGCACTGAGTGTTATACAAGAGATGCTGACTTGGCTTATATTTAGCCTCTGGTGGAAGTGTCCTCATAACCAAGTTCACTTCCTCAGGCAGTTCTTCAGCACACTGATCCATCGGGAGAGGGGAAATGATAGGAACTATCCTTGCCTCACCCTTCCTTCACCCTTATTTCTTTTTTAAAATATATCTTATTGATTTTTTTACAGAGAGACAGAGAACTAGAAACATTGATGAGAGAGAAACATCGACCAGCTGCCTCCTGCAAACCCCCGACCAGGGATGGGCTCGCAACCAAGGTACATGCCCCTGACCGGAATCGAACCTGGGACCTTTCAGTCCGCAGACCGACGCTCTATCCACTGAGCCAAACTGGTTTCAGCTTCACCCTTATTTCTGCTATGAGAAAGAATAAATAGAATTTATAGACATATATTTTAAAATATGTTTTATTGGTTTTAGAGAAAGAGAGGAAGATAGAGGGGGAGAAAAAGAGAAACATCTTGGACGAGGGATCGAATCCACAACTTGGGTGTGTGGCCTGACTGGAAATCAAACCGGCGACCTTTCAGTGCACGGGATGGCGCTCAACCAATTGAGCCACACAGGCAAAGGCAAAGAATGTTTATAATTTAAAACTTAAGGATCGGTGTGCAAGGCCATGCTTAACACAAAGGACAGAGGACTCGTGGTGGAACACCAGGCACTGATGGAGGGATTGCTGGGAGGGGCTCCCGCAAACTCAAGGTCAGTGCATGTGACTCCGAGCCCAGAGGGACAACCACAGACAGTTGACAGAGGGGTGGAGAAAGAAGAAAGCAGGAAGAGGAAAAGAAACATGGCAGGTTCCCTGCAATCTAATCTCATTCATGCAAGTCTCATTTATTGTGTGCAGGCAAACCTTAGGGTTAGATTGGCTGACTTGTCCAAGGTCTCCCAGTTTACAGATGGCCCCTATTCTGACAGAGAACCCCCAGCCCTCAAAGGCATCTCAGGTGGCCCCGCATCTGAGGCTGATCCTACAAGGAAATTGACTCATTTTCTAACACTTTTCTCCAAAAGCCCAGCCCTACTGAGTCACTGGTGGTGCCAGGTCCTCTGAACTCACAGGTCTTGCTAAACTGGATTTCCCCCCTTCAGTGCAGCCCAGATTTCCTAAGTTCCTGCTGTCACAAGTGCCTGGGCCCAGTGGGGGAGGGATAATAGGTGACAGCCTCACAGCCCAGCTGACCATCAGCCAGGTGGACCTGTCAGGACTCTGGGTGAACCTTGTAGCCACAGAACATTCAAGGATGCAGCCAGGGCCTTGGGTTGCCCCTGAGGGAGTGAAACAAAAGGGTGCAAAGGGACAAAGTCAAGTTTGTGCAGAAAGATGGGTGGGCCCCGTTTGGAGGTTGTTTACATAGAAAGACCTAGGAGTGTTAAAAGACACTCTGAAAGCTAAGTACATTTTGATACAAACATCTAACATAGTATGTAGCACATAGAAGTACACCACCGATGTTTGTTAAAGTGCAGTATAAGCCAACAAGAGCTACAAAGCAAAGCTAGTACAGCCTTAGGTCATATGAATAAAAGCACAGAGTCTACAGTAAAGAAGGTGACTCACATCCCACCATCCCCCATCCTGAGTTCAATCCTGGGTTGTGCATGAAATAAGATCTAGTCAGACAGAGAGAATCCAGAGGATGTGGGGGGTATAGAGACAGCACCCAAGGGATGTGGCTGGTGGAGCAGGATGCTCAGCCTGGGGATGAGCATGGACAGACTTGGTCATCATCCCCAACTCTCTGCAGGACTCCTTCAGGACAGGGGGACAGGCGGGGCTGTGAGCCAAGAGAGAGGATCTTGGGGAGCCAGCTGGACGAGTGCCAGCTCAATATACAAAAGGAATTTTCTTGAAATGACATCTCTTTTGGGGTGGTCATGAGTGCCAACTATGAGAGGTGGCAAGCTGAGGAATGGCAGAGGTTGACTTAGATGTCCTTAGCTCAGAACCTATTGATCTCTAAAATAATAATTTCCAAAGTACAGAAGGAAAATATTAGCTCATCTAGCTCTACTTTTAACTAAAAATAGTTAATAGTACATTGTTCAACTCTGATGTGCACCCATTGCCATGTGTCAGACATCAAATGTCATGTCCCCAGAGGCCAGGGGGAGCTCAGCAATACAGACAGGTCTGCTATGGCCACATTTTACTTTCCCTACATTCAGCCTGTTTGACATATTTCGGTGTACTAGTGCCAGGTTGGGTGGATTTGAGGATCAAACTATATAGCTTTGACTGACTCAGCCCCCATAGCATGGACAAGTGGCTTCGAAGAGTCCCTGCAAAGGAACCTCGAATGGAGATAACTCTAATCTAGGAAGTACAAGCAAGCTGCAGGAAATGTGGGAGACAGACCCCTCCCCCCCGACCCCCCAGTTCAAGTCCTTCATCAGTCACATGATCACGTTGAAAACAACAACGAAGGGGATCTCGCTCATGTGTAAATTGCTTACTGAAATAACAATACGAAGAAAAAACTATTTGAGATATGAACTTCCATCACTACCATCAGTGAGAAAATTCACTCCGAGTATATATTGAGATGTTAGCTAATGGTCCATAGTACTTGTATGTAATTTCTAAATCTATAAATATGTATGTACTAG